TCAAACTCGGAAGAACAATCTCAAGTGTCACAAGAAAAGGCTCACTCAAGATCAAGTAAGGCTCTTGGAGATTAGCTTCAACTCTAACAACAAGCTTGACTCCGATAGAAAATCCCAGCTCGCTCAGGAACTGGGATTGCCACCAAGGCAAGTTGCAATATGGTATCAGAACAAGCGAGCACGATGGAAAAGCCAGAGCCTTGAGGTTGATTACAAGGCCTTGCAACAAAGATTAGATAATGCCATGTCGGATAATGAGAGGTTAAAATTGGAAGTTGAGAGGCTTAAGGAGGAACTAAACAAAGCTCAAGAAATGTTGTTGGCATTCAATACCACAACTAATAATTATTCATCAATATCAAGTTCTTGTGATGAAGTTGGGAGTTCATGTTTGCAGCTTCATACTCAATCCAAACATCATCTTGATAAGGAGCTCTATGCTTGTTTAATTGGTGATGAAGGTCACTTTGGGCATAATTTCTTTGCTTCATCTATGTCTTGACTTTGATATATTGAGCTACATATGTATATGGTAACTAAGTACATGCCACAAAAAAATGAAGGATGTTTATGTGATATGAAGTTGTTTTTTCAGTTTTAGCTGCCATAGTAATTAAGGTTTTCCTTCTTCTTATTATTATAAGTTTTCTTTTGTATTTGTTCCGCTACTTTTTTCCATTTTGAAATTTCTTGTGCATAAAACAAATAATTGAGCCAGAAAGTTCAAAATTAATGCTAATTTATTCATGAACAGTATGGTAAAAGTTTCAGATATTCAAAAATGACCCAATTTCTCCTTTTCCTCGCTGCAAAGGTTTCCCAATATGATGAAACAGAAATTATATTTTCCAATAATCCTTTATTCTACGTTGGATACCAAAAATCATGAGCAGCGTTAAGTTTAAGCAAATGCACTAGCTGGTAATAATTTTAGTGAAACCTAGCCAGGTTGTGGTGGAATGATATAGTTTTTTTATCCTTAACTATAGGTTTTAATTTCGAGCCTTGAGAATAAAAAAATTCTTTCAAAGAGTGCTTTACCCTTTAGTGGAGCTTATACGGCAGATATCAAAATTAATCGAAACCTCAAACGCGTACCAGACAGCGTGCGAGAAGAAAAAAGCTGTATAATGGTTTGGACATATTACAGCCCGTCTCTGTTAGCATTAGTGCAACCTAACAGTTATAATAGTTTGCTTATCTGCTCAAAATTACTCCCATGCAAGATTCACGACTACTTCTAGAGACCAGAGAGATAGGGCTAATTAAATTGGTTCCAAACTTAGAGATTTCTCAAAAAATTTGCTCTAGTCCATCATGGTAACTAGGTGTTAGACCTCCGCCAATTGAACTCGACTTGACAACAAGAGTATTGTCATGAGGCAACAAGAGTATTGTTAAGCTAAGGTGCATGAGCAGCACCAAGGCAAAAATGGGAAACGGGCAAGTGATGGCCAAGACTTTGATGGAGGTGAGGCAGCTTGACAAAGGCTTGACAATGAGTTGCGGGCTGAGGGTGCCACTTGATCATGACAAAGGCATCAAGGCATGAGGCATTGATGCCATACCAAGGCAGAAACGATGAGGCAAAGGCAGGCTAATGTGCAACGGGAAGGCAGTGCGCGGACAGACTTGTCATGGCATTGAGTTGCGGCAAACAGGCCAAGTTCGTAGGCAATGGCAAAGGCAAATTGTGGCACAATGCAGCTGGATACAATGGCATTGGTGCCTGGTCCAAGCCAAGGCACGAAATTGGGCAGCAAGTCTTGGATTGACAAAGTCAATGGTGGTTACGGCAGATGCTGTGCACATGGGCAGCAGTTGGGCTTTGCTAAAATGCTGGCCGAAGTTAGCAACGTTTTTGGGGCCATGATCCCACTATCCTTTAGCATGATTTACATTATCCTAGTAGTTGGGGGTGCCAACTACACTAAGCTAAAGTAGTGGGCTAAGTGGGCAAGTGCCTAAGCCTAAAAATAGGCAACTATTGTGTAAATGACGCTGGTTCATACATTATAAATGGACAACACCCTTTCCCTTTGGAGAGTGTGGGAAAAACCGTGTAGAGTGCATGTTTGAGTTAGGAAGGAGTCCTAAATCTGTTTTCAAGAGTGAAAACAACCTAAGGCTAAGAGTAGTCTTATGAGGGTCAAGAGTGATCTTCATTTTTGTACGCGGACGTACTTTGAGTTTGAGTTCTTTGTATGCTCGAGGTAAATACAAAGTTGAGAAAAGAGTTTCCTTTATTTTGTGTCTTTTGTTCACTTTAAAATTTTCTGTCCCTTCATCTATTTTTCGTTGCCTAAAATCAGTCTAAGCTTACTACGTTGAAAGCTGCCTAAATTAATCTAAGTCCAAAGTTACTGAAATTTTGGCCGAGTGTTGGAGCAGGCTAAAGTCAAGTCGAGACTTGGCTGCCACGCGGGCTGTTGTTTTTTATGTGACATAAAACACGCATGTGACAACTGGTATCAGAGCGGAGCAAGTTCGTGATGGAGACACGACGAGCAGTGGCAGATTTCGTGGTCTTGTTCGAGAACATGGCTGGTGGTAACAACGAACTGCGGGAAAGGCTAACAAAACTGGAAGCACTGGCGGGAAATGTTCGTGATGGTGAAGAAATTCAAACCCTCGTGACAAGGCTTGCTGTTGATACCCAATTTTTTCCTATGTATTTTTATACAAAATACTTTCAAAATAGCATGTACGTGCACATATAAGCATGCCCCAAGAGTTTTGGTATTTTTTCCTAATTCTTAAGATTCTTGAAATCAATTTATTGTCTATTTTAGCAGTGCAAAATCCATAATTATTCCCAAAATCATCAGTTTTGGTGAATAATTTATTTTATTCCCATATTTATACCAAAATATAGTTAAAATAATATTTTTACATTTTTACAAATTTATTTGGTATGTTAAAAGCTAAATTGCATATAATTTCAATCGTAGCCTACTTTAAGATTAATAGCATTTTATAATTGTAAAATTGGTTCCAATATTTTTAAATTAATATTTATATACTGTTTGTTGGCTCAGTACTTTTAATTTACTTTCAAGATCATTTTACCATTGTTATAAAAATAAAAAGGGAAAACCTGGCTATTTAAAATCTGGCCCATTGTATTTCAATCATAGCCAAATTGATCACTCTAATTGACCCAATTCTGAAACCCAATTGGACCGGCCCAATTCTGATTTAACCCAACCCCTTTACCCATTTATCCGACCCGTCCGGTTTTCTTTTAATCCCAGCCGTTGATATTTTAGATCAACGACTCCCCTCATCCCCTTCCTTTTTTAATTCAAATGACTCCTTTACCCTACCTCATTCTCATCAACCGCCGCCTCTGCAACCCTCCACTATCTCGAACCCTAGACTCCTCCTTCCTTGTTCCACCGTGTTTTCACCGGAATCCATGGCTTCTCAGGCCATGGACAACCTATATTCACCTCCTCCGACTCTTGCATGCCTGATGCTCGAAGGTTCGAGGCCAGACCTCGAAGGTCTTCACTCAGACCTTCACCGATTCGAAGATTCCGGCCATCTCCGGCTTTGCTCCGGTGTCTCTTGGTTTTCTGAGCCTGTTTCTGACCCCACGGTTAGAGAAAAAGGGGGCGTCGACAGCATGGCGACTCTGCTGGGGATTT